GTAAGGTGACAACAGGAGACTACATAAGGTGACAACAGGAGACTACGTAAGGTGACAACAGGAGACTACATAAGGTGGCAACAGGAGACTACGTAAAGTGGCAACAGGAGACTACGTAAAGTGGCAACAGGAGACTACGTAAAGTGGCACTAGCAACAGGAGACTACGTAAGGTGGCACTAGCAACAGGAGACTACGTAAGGTGGCACTAGCAACAGGAGACTACGTAAGGTGGCACTAGCAACAGGAGACTACGTAATGTGGCAACAGGAGACTACGTAAAGTGGCACTAGCAACAGGAGACTACGTAAGGTGGCAACAGGAGACTACGTAATGTGGCAACAGGAGACAGTTTTTTAGTACACAAGAAGCAGCGTCTAGCTATAGGAAGAGCTAAGAAGAAGGAGAGGCCAATTGATTGTAATTATAAATCTCCTCTAAAAGGACAACGTTTCCGAGTTTGATAAGGTTGACAATGAATTATTGAACCCCCCCCCCTCTCTCTCTCTTTCTCTCTCTCTCCCTCTCTCTCTCTCTCTCTCTCTCTCTCTCTCTCTCTCTCTCAGAATAAATTAATGTGTGAGTTGGTTTGAGTCGAAGGAGTCTGATAGGAGAAATGCTGGAGAGGGCAGGCCAAGTGAAGGGAAAATGTTTCAAAGGGGGACGCAGAGGGTAAAACAGACTGACAGAAAGAGAGCAGAGAAAGAAAGAGACAGACAGACAGACAGAGGAGAGGGGGAGAGCGAGAGGGAGGTTGAGAGAGACACAGAGAGAGATAGAGAGAGAAACAAAGAGAGAGACAGAGAGAGGTAGAGAGAGATGTATATAGAGAGAGATAGAGAGAGTCAGAGAGAGATAGAGAGAGGTAGGGAGAGATGTATAGAGAGAGAGAGATAGAGAGAGAGACAGAGAGAGATAGAGAGAGGTAGGGAGAGATGTATAGAGAGAGAGATAGAGAGAGAGACAGAGAGAGATAGAGAGAGGTAGGGAGAGATGTATAGAGAGAGATAGAGAGAGACAGAGAGAGAGATAGAGAGAGGTAGGGATAGATGTATAGAGAGAGAGATAGAGAGAGAGACAGAGAGAGGTAGGGAGAGATGTATAGAGAGAGAGAGATAGAGAGAGAGAGGTAGGGATAGATGTATAGAGAGAGAGATAGAGAGAGAGACAGAGAGAGATAGAGAGAGGTAGGGAGAGATGTATAGAGAGAGAGATAGAGAGAGATATATATAGAGAGAGAGAGGTAGGGAGAGATGTATATAGAGAGAGATAGAGAGAGAGAGATAGAGAGAGAGGTAGGGAGAGATGTATAGAGAGAGAGATAGAGAGAGAGAGAGAGATAGAGAGAGGTAGGGAGAGATGTATATAGAGAGAGATAGAGAGACAGGGGAGTGGGGATGCAAAAAGGTTAGTCAGTCAGGGAGAAAAAGTCAGGAGTTGAGTCAAATACAAAACAAGCAGCGACACGTCTAGAGCACTTTGGTCACGCAATCTTCGTTCTAAGGCCTTACTCTTGTGTGTGGTGCTTCCCCCTTCTATTTATTATCACAAGGCCAAGGAGCAGAGGGAGATGATTGGAGATTGCGGTCGCGTCATCGCTTGTCGTGCCTTTTCAGTTGTAAAACAGTTTTCGAGTTTTTGAGAAAGCTTCCAGCATCGTCCCCTCCATTCGATTCAACGCACACTCGATAAAGTTTCGAATTATTACATTTTCATTCCTGAGTTCCCTTTTGTGATTTCTGAAGAGCTAAGATGAAAAGTTCTGAAATTATTGCTCTCCTCAGAAAAGATGAAGTAGTCCTTGAACCATTTAGCTTCAGGGTATCTCTGCTTTGTAATCTTTTAATGGGTTTTTTTTTCTCTCAATAAAATCGACGGGTTATCGTTTGTAGTAGTGAGTCATACATTTTTTTTGGCAATACAACTTGACATTTTTCTGTCTGTTGCCTTTCTCTTTATTTTATTTATAATTTTTTCTTTTGGTCAGTCTGAAAGATTAATGTTTTGTGTCTGTGGGTCTTTAACACACAACACACACATACATACGTAGATAAAATAAATGTTTAAAGTAGGCAGCAGGTACTTTGGTATGGGTTGCTCCTTCTTTCCTATCAAACAACTATCGTCCTTATCTCTCCCCCTTCTTTTTGTCTTTTCACATGACCGTATGCAGTTGCGAGCGCCGTAAAACCTCTACTAAAACTAATTGGCCTATTTGTGGGTGGTTGGTGGGTACTTTGGAGTGGTTGCTCCTTCTTTCTTATAAAAATATATATAATATACTAGCTGGGCCCCCTTTCGATGAAAGGAATTTTTTTTTAAATCGAGTTATTGAGGAACAATGCGCACTGCTTGTGAACGGAAGCATCACTTGTTTACAATGTCGTCTTAGAAGAGGGACTTTCCTAAAATTAGATCTAAACGAAACTAATGAAAAACTGAAAATTAAGCTTAGATCTATAATAATAATAATAATAAATAGCATTTATACTGCGCATTTCCATTTCCTAAAAGATGCTCAATGCGCATTACAATGAAAAAGACATCACATCTTAAAAATTAATCGACACAAATGTGTACGTAAAACAAAGTATTATACATATAATATAAATGCATATGTGTAAAATTTTATACCAGAAAAACAGTCTCGCAGTGAGGTTGAAAATGTGTTCACTAAAAATATACAATGCAATATAAATTCACGAACAGTCAAAATACAGTTGAAACGTGAGTAACTAGAAACATTCATTAAAACATTAATTCTATATAGATAGAAAAACATTTCCACTCTATCTCTCTCTCTCTCTCTCTCTCTCTCTCTCTCTCTCTCTCTCTCTCTCTCTGTGTCTGTCTGTCTCTCTCTCTCTCCCTCTTTCTCTCTCCCTCTCCCTCTATCTCTCTCTCTCTTTCTCTCTCCCTCTCTCGCTATCTCTCTCTTTTCTCTCTCTTTTCTCTCTCTATCTCTCTCTTTTTCTCTCTCCCATTCTCACTCGCTATTTCTTCAGTCTCACAGTCTGACATACACATGCATATATATCACAGTACATCATTATGACAGGTATGCTTTTGTGAATAAAAAATGCTTCAGCTGATTTTTGAAAATGGAAATTGTTGGGGCAGATCTTATTTTATATGGGATTTCGTTCCATACCTGGGGACCAAAGAACAAAAAGGAACGCTCGCCGTATGTTTTGTAGTTTTGTTTTGGAGTTTTAAGAATTAGATTGTCAGAGGCTGATCTAAGGGCTCTAGGTGGATTATATAATTCCAGGAATGTTTTAAGATAAAAAGGTGCACTATCATTTATACATTTAAAACAGAGAACGGCAGTTTTGTATTTAATCCTTTCTTTTGTTGGCAGCCAGTGTAGTTCTTTCAGAATTGGTGTTACGTGGGCTGATTTCTTTTGTTTCATTATCAATTTTGCTGCTTGATTTTGAAGTACTTGTAACTTTGATAGTTTTTCGGATGTCAAACCGGACAAAATAACCTTACAGTAATCTAACTTTGATAAAATGAGTGTTGTTACAAGTGTCTTGGCTGCTGCTTTAGTTAAATAATTTCTTACACTGCCAATTTTCTTAAGCTGAAAGTAAATACTTTTGCTGAGCTGGCTTATTTGGGAGGACATAGACATATCATAATCCAACTGAACCCCTAGATTTTTAAGACTTCTTTTTGAACGAATGGTATGGTTATTAATATCAATTTGTAGCTCTGGGAGATTTTTAATGGCTTTTGTATTTCCACTCAACATTATTTCCGTCTTTTCATCATTTAGTTTCAATTTATTGCTGGTCATCCATATTTTTAAATCTCTAGTACATTGTTCAGTAGAGTCGACTAAAAGTGGTATTTGATCGAAATCAATAGACTTATAAATTTGAGTGTCATCAGCATAAAGATGGTAATTCATGCCATATTGTCTTAAAATATCAGCAATAGGTTGTGTATACATTGTAAACAAGACAGGTCCAAAAACAGACCCCTGAGGAACACCACAGCTAAGCAAAACATTATTAGAACACTTGTTTCCAACCACAACTGCTTGTGTTCGATCTTTAAAATATGACTCAAACCATCGCAGGACAGTACCCTTTATGCCAAAAATAGTATTTAATCTCTCGAGTAAAATACCATGATCAATGGTATCGAATGCAGCCGAAAGGTCCAAAAGAGTAAGAAGACATACCTTTTTTTCATCAATATATTTTAAAATATCAGTACAGACCCTAAGTAACTAAGATCTATACGGGTCCTACACTTAAAAGTAAGTGCTCAGTAGCGCGCGAAAATGCGCGATAGTATCGAACGGAAGTACGACTTGAAATAAACAAACCTGCCGGATTTTCTAAAATTACAGAGACAAAAGCTGTCTCAAGACTGAAAAAACGAAGGGCGTCATGATCGGGAGAATATTTTAAAGAATCTTTTGACGAAAACTGCATGTCGATCGATGCAGCCATTAAAAAGCCTTTTGAATAGCAAAATTCGGCCACCACAAATAGATAATATATTATCTTCTTTATCTCCCCTCTTTCTGTTTTGTGTTTGTTACTCTCTAGTAGCACCTGTACTCTCCGGCCACAATATGACTTTATTGTGGTGCAGGTGCCGGAAAATGCTTACAATAATGACCTATTTCTGCTGCATGTGCCTGAAAACGTTTACCAAAAAAAAATAATCTTTTTAATGACCTATTTCTGTTGCATGTTCTGTAAAAGTCTTTCAAAAATGCCCTATTTCTGTTGCATGTTCTGTAAAAGTCTTTCAAAAATGCCCTATTTCTGTTGCATGTTCTGTAAAAGTCTTTCAAAAATGCCCTATTTCTGTTGCATGTTCTGTAAAAGTCTTTCAAAAATGCCCTATTTCTGTTGCATGTTCTGTAAAAGTCTACAAAAAATGCCCATTTTATGTTGCATGTACTGTAAAAGTCTTACACAAAAAGACCAATTTATGTTGCACGCGCTGTAAAAGTCTGAGAGAACCTGACCATTTCAGGGCGGGTGGCAAGCCAAGCTGTACATGGTGGCCTTTGGCCTGTCTGTCTTCTACATCGCTCTCTACAGCTACGTCATGGTCTGGATGGTGGCGATAGCAGGTGATGATGCTTGGCCCTTTTTGCTGTTTTTCTGTTTTTGATGTTTTTTGTGTGCTGATTTTGCTGGTTTTTTGCTGCTTTTTGCTGTTTTTGCTGTTTTTTGCTGTTTTTGCTGTTTTACTGATTATGCTGTTTTTGCTGCTTTGATGTTTTGCTGTTTTTGCTGTTTTTGCTGCTTTGATGTTTTGCTGTTTTTGCTGTTTTACTGATTTTGCTGTTTTTGGTGGGCAACCACTTTTCTCGATCCTTCACTATTTTCAGCATTTGGAAGGACTTCACCCAAGTTTAATTCCACGGATTGTTTCTACAACAAGAAGACTCTTCGGTTTTTACCAAAAATTACATTTCGAAACAGCAAAAAACGTTTTTGATATAAAGATCAAACCAATGCTGCTTTATGGCTCTGAAATTTGGGGTACCAAAAATTGTGACGTGATTGATAATGTTCAGATAAAGTTCTGGAAAGCCTGTTAAGGTCTTGACAAAACTACAGCCAAATGTTTAGTTCTAAGAGAAGTGGGAAGAACCAACTTATGTTCTGATTACATGCATTGTGTCATTAAATTCTGGTGCAGACTTATACACTTAGAAAATGACAGATATTCAAAGAAATGTTACATGCAATTATATCGTTCCTGTGAACTGGGCAGAGTCAACTGGGCTACGGAAGTTCAAAACCTATTATTTTCCCTGGTTTTAGGTATGCCTGGTTTTCTCAAAATGTTCGAAGTACTAGACTCTTTCTCAGTGAAGTAAAAAGTAGACTTTTTGATCCTTCTGTGCAGAACATAGAGGCAGAAGTCTGTCGCAAGTATAATGTTTTCTCTCTTACAATTCCGTTTCAAGAAACAGCTGAATATATCACCAACCTCCCACGGCATAGGAGCAGAAGAGTCATAGCTTTGTTAAAAACCCATAGCCTTCCATTAAATAACAATCTCTGTCGGTGGAAATTAACAAATTCACCCTTATGTGAGAGCTGTAACTCTCATGAAATTGAAGATGAATTTCACTTTATTTTCTATTGTTCACACTTTGTCCATCAGAGGAAATTGTTAATCCCTCCCAGCCTGACTCGGCCCAGTGACAAAAATATGCAATGTTTGCCCCATGATAAGAGATATGTGGACAACCTGCACTTATTCATTATGGAAACTTTACTTATCAAAAGAGTGTTTTGTGTGATGTGATGTGGTCCGGTGGCCTTAAACACTTACTTACCCACCTTGAAATCTGTCCGTTCCGTTAGATTGTCTTCCCATCTCTTTTTCGGTCTGCCTTTCCTTCCACCCCTATCTCCAAACCCCACCCCTTTGTCGATTAGGGCGTTACATTTTATCTATTATCATACTATTATATTTACTTAAAGACGTGTAATCAAGTCTTCAAATAGAATTAACAAAACGTGCGTTTTGGAGAGGACGAAGCAAAATGGAAAATTCGTGTAAACTGCCTTTTTCAAGGACGCAATGTCGGACCAAGCTGAGACTTGAACCCCCAGCCCCCACCCCCACCCCCAAACCCCGAGTCTCACGATTACGCGTCCGGTAGCCTACCTGCTCATCTACCTTAGAATTACCAAGTTCTGTGTGACATATTTGGCCGTGTTGAGTGACTAGGACCGTGAGGCCAGGAACCACATTGTCTGTCTGCTCTATCAAAATTGTAAGATTATTCGGAGTCGTCATCAAGATAATATTATAAATATATTCAAGGAATTGCAGTCAAGAAGCTTGACATGTTTTGCAAACCAATTTTTTTCACGTCAAATTTCTCAAAACTAGATACTGAGCAGATAGAACTTTGTAATCTACGGTAAAGACTAGGCTACGGACACCGTTCAAATAGGAAATAGAAATATACAAAAAAATATGGGTCAAAGGTGAACTGTGCGGGTGGTTGGCAGGTACTCTGGTGTTGCTTGCTCCTTCTTTCTAACCAAACATCTATCGCCATTATCTCTCCTTCTTTTTTGTGTATGTTACCCTCTTGTAACACATCTATTCTTCAGCCCATACATTATGACCTTATTGTGTTGCAAGTGCCGTAACACTCTTACAAGTCTCGTGCTCATATGACCTTATTGTGTTGCAAGTGCCGTAACACTCTTACAAGTCTCGTGCTCATATGACCTTATTGTGTTGCAAGTGCCGTAACACTCTTACAAGTCTCGTGCTCATATGACCTTATTATGTTGCAAGTGCCGTAACACTCTTACAGGTCTCGTGCTCATATGACCTTATTGTGTTGCAAGTGCCGTAACACTCTTACAAGTCTCGTGCTCATATGACCTTATTGTGTTGCAAGTGCCGTAACACTCTTACAAGTCTCGTGCTCATATGACCTTATTGTGTTGCAAGTGCCGTAACACTCTTTCAAGTCTCGTGCTCATATGACCTTATTGTGTTGCAAGTGCCGTAACACTCTTACAAGTCTCGTGCTCATATGACCTTATTGTGTTGCAAGTGCCGTAACACTCTTACAAGTCTCGTGCTCATATGACCTTATTGTGTTGCAAGTGCCGTAACACTCTTACAAGTCTCGTGCTCATATGACCTTATGCAGTTGCGAGCGCCGTAAACCCCCATACTAAACTTAACTTAACTCTTACCAAAACTAAAGGTGAACTGTGTGTGTACATCGGTGTTCGTTTTGTCTGTGTGTCGTCCAGGCCACACTGTGGGGATCCCGGAGACGGTGACAGGACTGACTATACTGGCAGCGGGGACAAGTGTGCCCGATTGTCTGTCCAGTGTGTTTGTGGCCAGGGACGGTGAGTTGTCGCACGTGCACAAACTATCAGATACACGTGCTCACAAACGCACGTGCACACAAACACACATACATACAAACGCACACACACGCACACACACATACACAAACACATACACACTAATAGTAGTAGTAGTAGTA